ATCCTAGATTTAGAAGAATTATTCGTATCGTCAGTTTACTGCTATTCTATTTACCAATGCTACCAACTGTAACCGGCATAAAATACCGCTACTGTAAAACGCCCCGTTATCCGGCTGTTCCGCGATCGAAAATCGTCAGTAGAGTCCTCCTCGTTTGATGAAACTTATCATCAGTTTTGGCGAGCCTGCATAAAAGAAAAAAAAAATTGAAACGAGAGTGTAACGAGAGGATTTTAGACTCTTTCGAAAGGAGATCATCGTTGATACTTTGTTTTTTTACCTCGTGGGAAGGTTAAGATCAGATATCCCGGTTGTTTTGTAATGCGATTATGGTCGCGTGCTTTTTCTTCTTATCATTCTTCCCTTCTTTTGTTCTTCCCCCTCTTGAGTTTGTTCTTTTCGTTTTTTGTTTTTTAGTCATTGCGGTACTTCTCTCGATCACGTGTGCTGAGAGAAAATTTGTAGTATTACATTCAGAAAAAGGTGTTTTTTATTTTCTTATTTTTTTCTTTGTTTTTCGAGATTTTAGCAAATTTCGCTGATGCAGTGAATAATATCGAGGAATTGAGAAGTTATAATTTTTATAAGAGAAGACAATACAACACAGTATAAAGCTGGTAAAAAATGTACAAGAATGAGAACGTGTTCAAATTGGCGTTTGGAGATTTTTCTAATAGAACCTCTTAACAAGTATAGTGTTTAAAGTCTCGTGGGTGATATTCTATAGACGATAGTTAGTGTAGAGTTGTTATTTTTTCATACTTCGAAATTTTACTCTCTTGCAAATAAAAAGAAATTAATTGAAAAATAATTAATAATTCTAAAATCTCGAAAAATAAATAGCCTATTCTGTTATCTGATATCTTATTAGTATTTCGTATAATTTGTCCAATTGAAAAGAAACAATATTTTTCCACTTAAAGAAAAGAAAGAAGAATAGATCAGCTGTTTTTGTTTTTCGTACCAACGTCTATGAAATTCTCTCAGCGCGCAGTCCTGTCAACACTTCAGTATCCGTTCATCGTGAAACATTCTGAAAAATCGAGAGCTATTCTGTAGAAATCGTGAAATTGTATTGTGATAATTGTGAAACATGCAATCGATGGAAGTTAATCGGATGAACGGAAGTGAGAAAGTATGCTCTTGAGAAATATTGAACATTAAAGTTACTTGTCAGTCGTATTGGTACAACTGTTGATGTAAAACTCTTTCATCTTACGAATTAAGCTCAGAAGCAATGCTCTCTCATAGCAATCTGTGTTATTACGTATTAGTATCATGAGTTTACGTAAATACGACACGTTTTTACGTGAATTAATAAGTTGCTACACGTAGAAGAACGAAAATTCATCGTACGATTTCCACGTGGCGTTCCGTCAAATGCTTTCGAACCAGGAACGTTACTGCCGTGAAACTTAAACGAAACAGACTGTACGTGGGAAAGAATCGTATAGTCGAAAACACACAGGTTCAATTCTTCGCGATGATTTTCGTTCTTTCATACATTTTTTTTTTTTTTAAAGCTTCAGTTGCTCAAAAATTCCCTCTCCACCACTATGGAGAATGTTTTCTGCTCATCTAGTTATTAGTAGCAGTAGGAGAAATTTGCCGAACGATTTATTTCAACCGCGTGACAAACTAACCTAACCTATATACGTAAACATGTGTTTAAGAGAGATTTTTCGTTTTGCTTCGGCGAACGATGGTTTATATGATTTCTCTGCGGGAGATAGAATCCATGTTTATACCACGAGAAACGTATACGTGCGTGAATTTCTATTGCTGTTTTCTATTGTCAGGCGGCAGCGCGAAATATGTGGTCGGATAGACGAGACGCTTTTTTCCCGCGTAAAATCGCGCGTCACACACGACACGTTGTGTTTTCGCGTTACCGTTTTAACTTCACATTGTTCAGTTAACGTCTACAGCGATTGTACATATATATAAAACGTGCACACGCAACTGTAATTTATCGTCACTGTTAACTTGAATGTCAACTAGGACCTTCCGAGCGATGAACTACTCGTTCTGACAGATATACTTACGGAATATATAATACACGTATTATACACGTATCATATAATATGTATATTATGTATCGTATACAGGGATATATAGCCCGCACAGTTATCCACGACCAAAAAGTGCCGAAACATTGGCGAGAAATCGAGAACGGACGGGAAAAAAAGAGAACTCTATATATTATTCCAGATCGTATACGCACGATTGAGTATATGCCGAAATCTACCAATCACGCGTATGCAGAGACACGAGACGTACATACTTATACACATACACACGTACACATACACACGCGTATGAGCATTACTCATGTACGGTGTAGTACACATGCATATACATATACGTATACGTTAAAACGAGAAAAGGAAAATTGGGAGAAAAAAAACACGACAGTTTTCGCATCACTACAGCAGCAGCTGCACCTCTTTTTTGATTCTCACACACGCACTCACACGATCTTGAATCAAACATTCTTTTTTAGCGGTCAGAGAGAGGGATCGCGGATTTACCACCACTCGAATAGAGATTTAATGTTTGTAAGGGCAATAACGATTGTAAATTTTTCGAGTACACTGTATTTGAATGTGTAAGTTGCATAAAAAAGACAGATTTTTTAGATATTGCACTATAATATTTATTATTCTAAGGTAACGAGACAGGGTCGCGATTCGCCGCGCTCGCGATACCTCGCCCCACCCACATACCTCCCTCCCACTCCACACCACCACAGTTCCCCCACTCCACTACCCTCGATTGTGGCCTCGATCGCATCGAGAATCGATGCCCGGGATCAACCAGCGAACGAACTTATTCGATCGCCTCCGCAATAATTTAGTTTCCCATCCTCGCAAAAAAGTGTTCCGTGCGAGATATGTAACTTGTTCAGTCGCGATCGACGCCGAGTCGCAAGCGCGGCTGCTTCGCGACGATCATGAATTAATATTAATTAATAAAGAGGCAAAGCGAATGCATTGTTCTTTCCAATAAAAGAAGAAGCAAGATTTTTAGTGTTTACACTACAATTGATAAACGATTCTATTATTACATAATATTATATTAATAACAATATTATTACTGTAATGTTTGTTTTTGGTTATTAAAGTGTGTATATAGCAATATATTCTAGAAATGGTCTCTCTTGTCGAATATCTTATACACCTCCCAAACAAATTCGTTTTTTGTTTCTTGCCTCTTTACGACGAGTAACTGTTTATATAAAGAAATATGCAGTTTTTAACTTCATTCGAATTTTGTTTTTAATATTATCTTTTTTCTTAGAAATTGTACATTTTAAACGTTTATTAAATATTTTATTGATTAATAATAATATATTTCTGAATTTTGTTTTATTCGATTGAATTTGAAATAATAGAGAATTGAAGCTTGAGCATTGTGAAATTTACTATATACTATGGTAATGTTATATGTTTATTATATTTACTATTGTCCGGCAAAGCAAACTTGAGGCTTCAGGAGGTCTTTGGGGTTTAGAAGTGGGAGATGTAGAAGAAGTTATGACGTCACGCTGTTAAACAGCCAATAGTGATAGAATAATGTTATGGCACTTAATCTTACGTCTTCGCTAATAGTCAACCAATCACGATAGGAGGAAGGATCGAAAGTATCGTCGAGAGCATCGTCAGAAATGAAGTATTATCAGGTTAGTTGATTTTTAAAATAGAAATTCTTCGAATTTTTTGCTTTTAATAATAGCTACTATAAATTAGAATATAATTGCACGTAGTGAGCAGTTAGTGTTGGAGATGGAGGCGTTGTAGAGAATCTTGTACGATGTATTTAAAAGTCGTCTGAATTGTCTTAGCGTTACAAATGATATCATTATATTCACTTGTTGTATTCTGTCAATTGTCATTGCAGAAAAGTATCATTATAAACTATTACATGAAGAACACTTAACAATACAGCACGTAACAAAACAACAAATTCAAGATGTCTGAGATATGGTTGACTTTCCTAATTAGCTTCGAGCCAAAATTAAGTAGTAAAATCAACCATATCTGAGACAGCGAAATTTGTCGAAATCAGTAAGTAGTGCAAGTTAAACATTTCTAAGACGCTGAAATTTTTCGAGATTAGCAAGTAGTGCAAGTCAAGCATTTCTCAGATGTTTGAAATTTTTTCGGAATCAGAAAGTAGTGTAAGTAAATCACTTCTCAGAAATGCCAGCAGCTTAGTTAATTAATTCATTAATTTATTGAAAATTTCTAATTTATGTTCAAGTACTTTAATTGAAGTATTAACAATTACATGCAGCAGATTAGTTAGAAATTAGTTTGTAGCTTTTATTTAACACTTAAATATTAATGTTCTTTTTATATAAATGAGAAATGGAACTTTCAGGCCATCATAGGAATCAAGAAAAGGATTTCAATATCAGGAAACATAAAGAAACGCAATTATTTATCAAAAAATCATAGATTTATTGTAAGGTAACTGTACAAAATGTATTTTACAAAAGGTTACAATATACCAGCATTGTTTTACAGGATTTTACAGTCTATTTCTCCCTTACGCACCACACCTATTTCCTATTGCGAAACATTCATTCTTTAAATACTATTCCATTGGAAAATTAAATAAACTAAGTCCAGATATCATTAGGAACGCGTAATAATCGAAAGAATCCCGAAATTCCAGCGAAAATAACATCAAGAATATAGACTATTTATATATTTTTATAAAAGACGTAGGCGTTCTATACATATATCATTTCAAAAAATGATTTTCACTATTTTTACTATGTTACTATTTGTATGAAATGAAACGTGGTAAATATACAACAATAAAATTTGTATAGAAACTTATTGATTAAATTTTATTTGCATATATCTATTTATAAGGAAGTATTTGAAATTAAATAAAATAATCTATAAAAGTTCATTACTACGTAATATTACCATGTGGCGCTATCTGGAATGATGGTTCAACAAGTAAATAACTGAATGTAAAGTGACCGAGTAACACGTGTTCCTATATTAGACTTATATATAAATATTAAACATGACATCGCACGAAATGGAAGTAGAAGAGGAAAACGAAGAAAAACTGAAAAATTTTTATGAATTAGAATTAGACGATAGAATTTTAAAGGTAAATCGATAGATCATCATTATTCTCGAGTAAGAGGTTATGTTTTCAAATTTCAATCATTCGTCAGAAACTATTTAACTTTTATTATGGACGATTTTATAAATGATATTTTGTTTCAAAATTTATTTAATATACAGTTACATATAAAATAAAATATTTTAGGCTGTTGCAAAACTAGGTTGGTTAGAACCTACATTAATACAAGAAAAAGCGATACCGTTAATGATAGAGGGAAAAGATGTATTGATTCGAGCTCGCACAGGATCAGGCAAAACAGCTGCATTTGCAATTCCACTTATTCAAAAAATTTTATCAAATAAACAAAGACAAAGGAAACAAGAAATTAAAGGCCTTATTGTAGCTCCAAGTAAAGAGCTATGCAAGCAAATAAATGATGTAATAGTCAGTTTAACAATAAAATGTAGTAGAGAAGTAAAAGCTATTGATGTCAGTCCACAAGTAGATCTTAGTGCACAAAAAGTATTATTAACTGAGAACCCTGATATTGTTATTGGTACTCCAAGTAGATTGTTACAGCATTTGAAAGCAAACAATATGAAATTGAAACAATCTCTTGAAACATTAATAATTGATGAAGCTGATTTGGTAAGTAATTTTAATTTAATTAATGCTTTCTGTACATTATAATGGTACTGTTATTTTAATAGTATTGGTATTTTGATATATAATGGTTTATTTTAGGTATTTTCTTTTGGATATGAGGATGAAATAAAAAATTTATTGAAATATTTGCCAACAATATATCAAGCAGCTTTAGCTTCTGCAACATTATCTGAAGATGTAACAACACTTAAAAAATTGGTACTTCATAACCCAGCAATTTTAAAATTAGAAGAGCCTCCATTAGCTCCATTATCTCAGTTAACACACTACAGTCTTGCTGCTGAGGAAAATGAAAAAGCTACTATTTTGTATGCTTTGTTGAAATTGCATTTAATTAGGTAAATATATTGAATTAAATGTAATTAACAAAAATTGTAAGGAAATAATATAAATTTCAATTTATCTTTTTTTAGGGGAAAAACAATTATATTTGTAAATACAGTAGACAGATGTTACAAGTTAAAATTATTTCTAGAGCAGTTTGGTATTCCTACTTGTGTATTAAATTCTGAGTTACCAGCAGTTTCAAGATGTAGAGCAGTTACACAATTTAATACTGGGACATATGAGATTATAATAGCATCAGATGAAAAGTCCTTGGAAGAAGTACATATTACATATTTTGATGTTTTTAATATTAAATACAATTTATCGCGTCTCTAATTTTTATTTCTTGCAGCCTCATATAATAAAAATTAAAAAAGGAAAACGAAGAAAAGACAAAGAATCCGGTGTTGCACGCGGTATCGATTTTCAGTTTGTGGCCAATGTAATTAATTTCGACTTTCCTCCGGATGTAAACTCGTATATTCATAGAGCTGGTCGTACCGCTCGAGGAAATAATGAAGGAACAGCATTGAGCTTTGTATCAATAAGAGAAAGACCTCTCCTGGAAGAAGTTGAAGCAGAATTAAAACACTGTTACAATCGCGACACTTTATTTAAAACGTACCAATTCAAGTTAGAAGAAGTCGAAGGTTTTCGGTATGTTCAGTAAAAATGTTCTACCTTAAATTAATTTTATTTTTGAATTTAATATTATTTATTTTTAGATATCGAGCAAGAGATGCCTGGAAAGCGGTAACGAGAATAGCTGTTCGCGAAGCACGTTTAAAAGAAATAAAACAAGAAGTACTTAATTGTGAGAAATTAAAAAGCTACTTCAATGATAATCCAAGAGATCTGCAGTCATTGAGACAAGATAAAGCATTGCATACTGTAAAACTACAACCACACCTGAAAGATGTGCCTGAATACATAGTTCCACCCACTTTGAAAAGGTTTATTGGTAAAAGAAAGAGGAAGTTTAACAGAGAGGCAGCAGCATCCAGGCCTACAGCTGCAAAATTAAGACATCAAGCACGTGCATCAAATCCCCTAGTTAGTTTACAAATAAAGAAATAAACATTTTATACGAATAATAATATATTTTCCTTAAACTCATTTATTTCATGTCACTGTTTATTATAAATAACATCTTATAAGTTTTTATATATTCAAGTTGTACAAAATTATAGATGAAAAATTATACACTATTCAAGTAGTTAACATATAATGTTAGAATGTAATTATTATAATTCATGACTTTTCTGTAGTCTGCTTTGGTTTATACTTTTGCCTAATACCATCATTAAAACCTTCTTTATTTCTGGCAAGTTCAATGGCATAAAACTGTATTCTAGTTGTGAGTATACTATTTTCTTCTGAGTAATCTCCCTCACATTCTGCTCTTAATAGTGTACCAAAACTATAATCTTCTACAACTCCTTTAAACTGTTCACAAAATGGTCTCCACTTCATTTTTCCTTCAGATGATTTTAATTCATCTTCATTTATTTTATCTACTTTAAGGTCAGGGAAAACATCTCGGAAGGTTTTATATATTTGTTCATCATGGGGGGTAAGTTTTAACAACTTAGGATCAACTGAACATAAGATCTAAAATGGAAAGTTAAAATTAAAAGTTTAAAGCTTTGCCTCTTTTTTATATACAATGAAATTAGTTATTTTTAAATTTCTTTTACATTAAAATAAACTTCAGCATGCTCCATGGCCTTCATTGCCCACATGGCCTCTACTGAAGGCTAAAAAATGTACAATTAGTTGTACACTACTTGTACAAATGTACAGTAATTACTTGTATAAATTCAGTTGTTTCTTAGCTTTTATTTGTAACTTACATCATTATCAAATTCGTCTGCAGGTCTAGATAATACACTGGTACCAGCTATCAATTGATCTGCAGTCTTAAAATTGCAAAAAATTGTTTCAAATTAATAAATAATATTAAAATAGGAAGTTGAAGTACACTTGAAAAATACTAAATAAATATAGAAATAAATCTATAACTAAAAATAAGAACTTTAATTTAAATTAAACATTAATTTTTACATGATTTATCAAATGCGACATTTCATTTTCAAAGTAATTTACTCATTGTTACAATTTAAATAAAATTTGGTATACTTTTTGCACACAAAAATATACATGGTAGGTTAAGAATCATTCCCTCACGAAAAAATGTGGAAGATCAATAGTTTTATTGTACTCACAACGTTCCCAATACGTGCCATTTTTGTACTCTTTACAACTTAAATTGGTATAAAAAGAATATCAAATATTTCTTAAAGTATTTATGATAAAATTAAACGCTAAAGATCGAGAACCGAACACACTGTCCACATGTCACGCGGTTAAAATACACGTGCAACGTAACCGAACAAAGTGACAAGGAAAGGAAAGCAGCACCAATCATTGTACTGATTTTTTACAATTGGCAGCTGGCATTTCGATCTCGTATAATCTTGATAATATTGATAGTAGAAGTAGAAATGTTTCCATTTTGCACATCCCTTTTATAAAGAGAACTAAAAGTATAGAAAAAAAGTCTGTGATTAAATTTTAACCAAAATGAGTAACTCAGGAGAGGATATTGTCACAGCAGTGGTAAAATTGATAAACGATATTCATTATGGGTGAGAATTTAAAGTGGTCTAACCTTAAGTGTAACAAATTTATAGAATATTCTGTTTTAGTTACCTGAAAGATACGCACAATATCGTAGTAGCAACTATAGACGTTTTAAAGAAATTTATACAGGACGAGGAATGGACCACTGCCGCGTATGAATTTGCATTTCTTTCAATATCTTAATACAATTATGTGAATACCTAAGAAGCACTAAATGAATAAGTATTAATGTAATTAAATTATCATTATGTAATATTCATTTTTGTATACATAATTGATTAGAAAATATCACTATTTTTATTTATTGGTAAAAGTATTAACTCTCATTTCACTTCATTTGTGTATTTTTAGGTGCATACAATTGTATAATATTAAATAAAGATATTTTAAGAGTTGCTTTTTGAGGAATACATATCTGAATTAAAAAATAAAACTGATGAAACTGATCCACAAGAATCATTGCACAAAATTCTTACAGCTGAAGATCAAAAAATTAATTTTAATAAACATGTGCCTTCTCTAAGATCAGCTCTTCTAGAACATATTAATGAATTTGAAGCTGAATTAGAAACTTGGTTAGTTGTTTAGTGAAAGTACAAAGATTGCTGTATATTTGTATGATGCAATATCTATATGTTTTACTTATAGTGCAGAAAATATTACACAGCAAGCTTCTGAACATATTCATTCTAATGAAATTATAATGACAATTGGCAAATCAAAATCAGTAGAAGAATTTTTTAAAAGAGCTGCAGCAACAAGAACTTTTGAAGTTATAGTAGCTGAAGGGGGACCATCTTTAAATGTGTGTATATGTTGTAAAAAAAGATATTTGTAGGTGAATACGTAATTAATTTGTATATATTTGATTAAAAAAATTTTTTTTGCTTGTAGGGCCATGAAATGGCAATTAATCTTTCAAAGGCTAAGATTAAAACTACTTTAATATCGGATGTAGCAATTTTTGCTATGATGTCGCGTGTGAATAAAGTAATAATTGGTACACATACTGTTCTGGCAAATGGAGGATTAAGGGCAATTTCAGGTGCACATACAGTTGCTCAAGCTGCAAAACATTATTCTGTCCCAGTAATGGTTTTATTACCACTCTATAAACTTTCTCCATTGTACTTGTATTCCCATGAACAAGATGGTTTTAACAAACATATTTCACCACTGGAAGGGGTAATTGACGGTGCTAATACATCTTTGTTGGAAAAAATTCAGGCATATAATCCAGTTTTTGATTATGTACCACCAGAATTGGTCACATTATTTATTTCAAACACGTAAGATTTACGAAATTAAACCTTTAATTTTCCCCAGTCTTCAACATTGTAACTTAATAACTCAATAATACGTTTTTATTTCAGGGGTGGAAATGCGCCATCATATGTTTACAGATTGCTTAGTGAATTATATCATCCAGATGATTATGAATTGTAACACATAAATGTTGAAACATATTTGTACTTGTATATTTGTAGCCACTTTTTTAAATTATGTTAAAATCATCCAATTGTTTTGAAAAAGCAGTTTTATTATAAAAGGAAGTAATAGAAATTATTGATATTTGAAAACGAATTGTCTAACAGGATTATTTATTTACATATTAAGATATATACAAGTAAATATAAATTTATTTTACAAAAAGTTTCTCCATAATCTCGTAAATTCGAAATTATTAAATCTTGATTTAAAAAGAGTAGTACATGAAATGGTTGTTCTTATTTTACATTTTTGGGATTCCTTTTTGGATTTGACATGCTATACATAAGGATTCCAATTACTACCATCCTCAGGTTGTAAAGAACCTGTGATTAATAGTATTACATCAAAAACCCACCACACTCCTACTCCACCTAATGAGAACAACTTGCCAACAGCTGTACCAGTTTGTCCTAAACAAAACCGGTCCATACCCAAAAAACCTAACAGTATACTATACAATAAAGTAGTAGCAAAATAATGGTCACTGTATTTTATGCAAGGAACTCCTTCACGAGTAAATGTTTTGGGTCCATAACATTCAATGTATGGTAACACAGTACAAGATACTTTAGCCTTTTCAACATCTTCATACCAGGAACCTCCAAACTAAAAATGAGAAATCTAAAAAATCATTGTTATACATATATGTGTATGTATTGTAATAAATGCAATGTTACCTTTACACAACCAAATCCATCTTTTTCATCTTTGGCAGTTTTATTACCCTTATGATCAATTGGTTCTTCACATTCTATAAATTCTTTTGGCCTACAAGATGTACATATGTTCACATTGTACAAGCAAATAATTTAATGAATTAAAAAGAAAAAAAAACAATTTATTATTGAAGATAAACAAACTGTCAGACAGTACACACAAACACTCACAGAAATTTACACAATACCAGCGGACCTTCGGGTCTGTACTCTTGCTGAAAGTCTGTAGTATTGTTTATTACCGTTATTCCCGTACATATTCGAAAATCCCATGAAAGGCAAACTAAAAGCAGAACCGAGTATCGTAACCTCATCTTGCCGAGTTTGACATTTTTAAATGCACTCCTGCTCCCCGAAGTTTACCAGAGCACACCGATAAAGTGCATTTCCAATCATGCGTGTTGTGTCGACGACGTATGCAGCTGTATGTGAGAACTATCCCATTGGATCTAAAATACTTTGTCCCCATGGGAAAGTTCCAATGGGAGAATGTTTCGAATAGCATTAACCAATCACGAATCATTTCCCTTCATTGCCTGAAATGACTTTTAGAGACGCGCAGTGATTTCGGAATTATTCGGCCGTCCGCTCTGAGAGAACTTTAGTTTTGTCAAGGATCAGAGACGTGTGTTTCGTGCTTGTCGAAAGGTTCATACAGTGGTTGCACGACAGTAAACAAAGCGATTGTGTGTCGTGGTCCCTTAATATTTGTGAAGCAGTACACTTCGTGGTTGAAAGGCTGCGTATATGTACGGAAATATGCGCGAAAGAGAAGAATTTTGTCGAATTTTTCCACCGGGACAACCGATCCAGGCACCGACGGCACGGGCCTTGGGCCTTGACGCTCTGCACAATCTTTGTAAAGAGATCTATCCAGACCAAAGCAATCCACTCACTGTCACTGCTGTCGTGAAATACTGGTAAGAATTCTGTAGTTTGACGAGACAATAAAAAGCGATTCTTCAGCGCTAAAATTGTGAAGTTTAAATTGCGTACTTGGTGTATATGTCAGAATGCAAAATAAAGAATTTCTTGCATTGTTATTAATTATTTTCTAATTAATTTTTTCTAATTAATCTGCTTTCAATTGATTTTCTAGACAGAATGTGCGAAATGTATTGTAAATTCTTAATACGCATACGCATAATTTGTTAATTATCTATTAATCATTCATTACGTTAATTTCTTACTTTTACATTTCATTTAAAACGAGAAAATATAAAAAATGTTTTGTTTCTTATAATAGAATAGAATGGAATGTTTGAATTTTATATACAAGATATATTAGAAAATCGTTTTTATCGTATTTCGATCACGTCAAATTCTTATACACACAGTTCATTATAAAGTTCGTGTAGGTAATATATAACTGTTCTGCCTAATTCGTTGTACTAATACAAATGAAATAAATAAAGGGTAATATAACAATTAAAATAATTAAAAATAATTGGTATCTCTTCTTTATTTTCTTTTCATTTATAAATCACGTATTGTATTAGATACGTACAATCTGTAATGCAAACATACAATGTATTTAAACGTATTAATATTATATTAAATTAGATTAATTTAATTTTTACGTCGTTGATTTTAGTGTTTTACGATTGATACGTAATCGAAGAAACTGTACAATTCTTTATCAGAAAGGTGGTTTCTATTGGGTTCGAGTATAGAACTCTCGTACAAGAAGGGAGGATGCTTTATATTTAGCCACCCTTAGTCGCGTGTACATTTAACCGGATGTAAAACCAAATAACTGAGATTTTCTGTGCACCTTTGCTTAGGTTGGGGGGTCCAGATCCACTCGACTACATAAGCATGTACGAAAATCCTGGCTGTCCTGAATTAGGCGTACCACCACATTGGCATTATATTAGGTAAGTTCTTCGAATTCCACCGTTTCGCCATTTTTAAAAATTTCGATCTCTTACGATACTTTTCGATAAATACGTAGTTCAGTGTAAATCATCGTTAAATAACATTATTGTGTTTCAACGAAGTAAATAATCATCGTAATTTTTTCTCGAACGATTTTCATTTTTTTTTTTTTCGTCTATTTAAATATGTTTGTGGCTGAAAATTTTTGATAATAGTTTGTCACAGGGATTTCTTCCGGTGCGCACGCGATCGTCGATGTGACACATTGCGATGCATCGTTCATTCAGAAAAGACAGGTCACGTTTTTTTTTCGTGGCATGGAAAAGAGGGAAGACTCAGAGTGTTCGAAAAAAAAAAAAACGGGAAGTCGGGTATTCGTCAGTGTCATCCTGTTGAGTAGCACGAGTGTGTCTCTATTTGATGTGAGCGCATGTTATTTTTCCGACACACCCTCGATGACACGTGTATGCGGCACCCATTTCTGTCATCCGGGAATTCCATTTACTGTTCCGATACATTAAAACCAGGCACAGCGCAGACACTGAACACGTTACAGTTAGAATTCCTAACTTCGGTTTTTACAGCAAAGAAAATTATACCTCTCGTTGCATTCAAAACTACGACGAATTGCATAACAATTTTCGTTGTTTTTTTTTTTTTTCTTATATTATTTCACCAGGAAATGAAATTGTATTATCGTAATGATTCATGTAGTCGAAAAACAAATGAATACTCGTTTCAGGAATTCCTCATTAAAAACTAGGCGCCGAATGACGAATGGTTTACCGCGAAAGGGTGTTCACTTTTTTTTTTCTTTTTTCAATGGGTGACCCTTCCTTCTTCAGTTTGAAGCAGCTGTTCCAATAGTTCCCTCTTTTTCTATATATAGAAAGTACAGGGTACAGGAAGATAAAGTCGTTTGAAGCGCGACGCGTCGGAAATAGATGCGCGGGTCTTCCCCTTTTCCGTCTGTCTTATCTAAATATGTTTCACCATTAACTAAATCCAGTCTAGTTTTTCTAGATTAGGTCTAGGATTATTTTTGGATTTGCCAATGGTCCTTGAATATTTTTATTTTGCACCAGATACCTTATTATAAGATGCATTTTCTTGGTTAAAGTTTGGGTTTGTCGGATCTACACGGAGATGGACGGATACATCCGAAAAGTGGTCCAGATCGTCCAAGTGGCTTTGGATTTGAGCTGACCTTTAGATTAGTTAGAGAAAGAAATGAGATGACTCCTCCCACTTGGCCAGCAAATGTGATGCAACAGTTAGCAAAATATGTTTTTAATTCTGGTAATATGTTGTTGCCTGGAGACCATGTCTCATGGCATGCACCTTTAGATAATGGGAATGGTCGTATCACACAAATTTTAATGGGCAGGGATCCACAACTACCTTCATCTATATCTACACCTCATGGTGATGTAAGTTGATTATGTTAATTTGAAGTGAAATTAGATATTTAATTAAAATTCATGTTTTGGTATTCTAATTCAAAGTAATAAATTCTTAATGGCTCATCTACAATGTTACAGGTTTCATTTGTTCAAATTGTAGGAGTCACTTCGGAAGAACTACAAGCTGCACAGCATTGGAATGGCTTGGGTCTTGTAAATTTATTAAAATCTAGTCGTGGTTGTGGACCATGGTTGGTAACAGATATGAGAAGGTTGTATTCTGTTATGGAAGATGATCCCTCCATAGCAGAGAAAATACAAACTGGCATAGAGAAGGAGGGTTCTAATTTAAGTGGTGTATCTGCAAAGTGTTGGCAAGTGTCCTAAAGTAATTTCTACAGAATAGACAATAGTATAAAAAAGAATGGAGTAATTTCTAAGCCTATATTTAATTTTTATATTATACATTAATAGGTGGGTTCAGGTAAACAGTGATAAAAGTACAGAAAAATATAGAGAGACAAAAAATGAATCAGATGAAGAAGATGAAGATATAAAACCAATTATAAAATCGGAAAGATTGTCCCCTTGTGAACAGGATATGAATTTACCACATGAAAATTTTATTAAAGTTTTACCAGGTCTTCATTTAACTTTTAATCTTGAAGCAGGTTCTCTGTTACCATTAGCAATAAAGTAAGTATCCTTGTAACATTGCATAATTAATGTTGTATACTGTTAAATTTTAATTATACGTTCAATTTTACAGGGGTCGCGTCATGCATGGAAGGCATTTTACATTTAAATCTATATTGTCTCATACGGCAATTACAATAGTGGCACCTTCAGTTACTGGTACTCTAGTTTCTAGGGAGAAACCATATGTTGTTCAAGGGCCATGGTTACAAGTTCTACTTCCCGAAGATTTATCTGAAAAAATGGCCCAAGAGTTTCAAGTTTTAAGTTCACCAAATCAAGTAAGTAATACTAAATAATCATCATACAGAGTATATTTCTTTATCATAAAAAGTTATTTGATTTAAATGTATGTTACAGATACAATTGCCAAAGACATTTTCTTGGCCCGAACATAAACTAGTTATTACTGTTGTAAATGACTGAAACAAACTAGCTTAACACTGTACGAAATGTCGTTAAAGCAAATTAGGATAAATTGACGTAAGCAAAGTATTATCTAATTTTGTTATAAAGCGAGTTTCAACGAAATTATTTATAATCGAAGTGCGTATGTATGATTATCGAGAATACGATAGAACCATGAGACTTTACGTATCAATATGTAAAAGACGAGGCAAACTATAATGAATAAATTTCTATTCATCAGGTACATAGAGAGTATAGAACATATTTTACAGAGAGAAACTTTCAGATGCCCCTCTTTTACAAGTTGATGCCTGTTAATGATTGATATTTAATTGTGTACATAATAGAACACGAATTATGAAGTGTAATGTTGTATTTGATATACGAGTTTACACATTGTTGCTTTATACAGAACATTTTTGTAAATAGAGAACCTTACAGTTCTGGCATTGTTTTTGTCAGAATTTTATACCAATTTTTACAAACAAACGAAAAATGTATGATACAACGATAAATATAAGGAATAATATTTATAAGGAAATATATTTTATTTTCTACAGTTTTCTTCGTACAAATTTTATACATTGCACGTGTCAGATGTATGATCATCTCCCTTTTGAATCTATGGGACAGAAGGGTTGTTAACATAAAATTTAATAACTTTATTAAGTAAAAATTAATTTTATTTAATTAGTATACATTAACACGGAATTGCCTAATCTAATCTAATTTTATCTTATCTAATTTTATCTTATCTAATTTAATCTTATTTAATGCTTGCTCTTTTATTTAAAATTATTATATTCAATTTCACGTTCTTTTTTATTTCACTAATTTTTTACCTCCTCGTTTCTTTCATTCTAGTCGTCTAATTCCTGTTTGGGCTCGGCTCGAGGTCGTTTCCCATGACGTCGATTCATCCTTTTCCCTGTTCTTTTCTGCGGGAGACAAACCTCTAGCCCAGGTTTAGTCACCTTGTTATTGTTGTTTTCGTTCGAAATCGCGTTTCGTGTGCAAAAGTACGAAGCTATTCGAGAGTTCTGGGAAATAGATGTGACATTGAAAGTATCACGCGAATCAACAAATTTCGACTAGTGTTCAAGTTACCGCGACCACGAACGGACGGACCTCTGAATTTTTAATTATTCGAGACTCCTTTTAGTTAGCTTATGCGTTACGCGTGTGTGTGTGTGTGCGTGTGTGTGAACGCTATTACTGATACATATTCGAACGTGTATATAGTAGTTAGGTAAAGTGTAATGGTGCAGTGTATGGACTAATAAGAATGGTAGCGGAAGTAAGCACACAAGCGTTCAATGGAGTCACGAGATTTCACGGAAATGGTGCTTCACCATCAGGTATGTATACATTAATTATAATCGTAATGTTTAATCGTAATCGTTAATGTTTAATGTAACAGTATATTCATTCTCTGCTTTATATGATTTACCACAATTGTAATTGGAATTCTGAAATATCAAGGAAGATTTTATTGAAGGGTAAAATCAGTTTAAAAAGGAGTTAATTAATTAATATTCGATATCGTGCATAATAAGTAATGAATGGGTTGGACCAAAAACCAGATAATATGAAAACATTTGAAAATTAAATTTATGAATCGTCATAGTAGGGACCGTTAAAATATGTAGTGAATTTCAAATTTGACACAGAGGTATAACCGGAATATTGATTGAAATTCGTGAATGTTGTGATTACCTGGTTTTTGTGCCACAGTCTTCGGCTATAACACCGGAACAAACGTTCCTCGATATTTCGTCAAACGTTTCTCGGTATTTCTAAAGCCGTGTTATTTCGTCGAGATTCTTGCTTCTAAAAATCAAAGCAGGTTACTTGACCTATTCGCGTGAAGGTTATTAACAGCACGTGTACTTCGCTTGTAATTGAGAATACTGCCGCGATTTCAAAACATCGAATAAGAAGTTATAGTGGACTTTTGTTAGAACGTATATACTAGAAATGAAATTTAAATGAAGATTAAATGAAATTATTACGATTAAGATCGTTACTTAAAATAATGATAATTAAGAGTGAAAAAATATTGTAAATGTAGTAGCATACTGAACAGAATTTTCATTGAATTTATTTTTATTTTATATCCCATTGATAATTTTCGAATTAAGTAGGGGTAATTTCGTCGTTATTTTCAGCTAACAAAAAACATCCAACTAAATCGTTGTTTTTGCAAATTCATTTCCAAAATAAGGTTAGAAATATTGGTACAGACAGAAAAACGAGTAAATGTACGATTGAATCTACTTATCCGAACGAGAATTCTAGTTATTTGAAAAAAGAGATTACAAATAATGGGAAGAATCAGTGAACGATCTAGTTGTATAAAATCTTTGTCCCTCGATGAATTCAAATAAATCCAGTTCTATTGTACACATCCTTCCAAAAATCTTTAAACAATCCAGTTATGAAATAAATCCTACTTGAAAGAAATTCTTCGTGAATTTAAACGCCGCGATCCAAAGGAGAACTACGATGCACGCGGAGGCGAAATCTTCAATTTCCTCGCAGCTGATATTGCTAACTACATTCACGATCCCTCGAAAGACGTTCGCGAATGTTTGCATAGCCTCCATGAAGAGATCCCTGAAGAAGCAGATCACCTGGAAAATCAGGTTCATCACCGCTAGTATCAGCTCGATTAATCTCGCCAAGAAATCGAGAATGATGTCCAATAACTTTTCGAGGGTCTCCCATAGCCAACAGACGACTCGTGAGAAGAACTCGACGAACTGCTGCGACGCGTTCGACATACGATTTTTCATGTTTGAATCGTTCGTTTCTAACCTCTGTCACGTTTCTTCCTCGATTTTATGGAAGTGGAACATACGTCGAACGAATTTCGCGCTCCACGCATTTCTCGGTTTCGTATGTTAATGTAATAATACTTCGGATAAATTCAAGAACCTTTGGCTCTTGCGTTTTTCTTTTTTTTTTCTCTTCCTTTTGTGACATTTTTCAGCGTGGATCGAAAGAGTAAGATCGATTCGAATTTAGTGTTTATCGTCTTGAAGTTACCGTGAACTTGATTCTGTATGATCTATGGTGAGAAAGTGTCATTTTTTGATGGTTTCACGAATACTATTTACGAATAACATCTCATTGGAGAATATTCGTGAGTCTTATTAACGTGGCGATTATAAATGGTTCGTTTTTTCCAATAACAGTTGTAGAAGTGAAAAAATTAATTTTTTTTCTTATCGTATACTGTGTACGACAGCAATGTGTACAAGTTTATTGTAATTTAGTTAGGTTAAGTGTTAAATTAGAAAAAAAAAGAAACTATGAATTTTTTCCTTTACGATCAAATAGAGATCTTTCTTTTTTCGCTTAGAAATCGCTTAGAAATTGACACACGTGATTTATAACTTAAAATTCTTTTTATTGAATATTCTATACAGTCTGTGATAATCTCGTGAACATAAAGGTTTCACTAATATCCTCAAGCAATTGACTATGATGACATCAACGATAAACAACATGCTCTACTCATGAATATTAATAAAACTATAATAACCGTAATTATAATGGCAGTTCTTGCTCCTTCTATTCTACAAACTATCAAATAGTATCAAACAGTGGTTCTGTATACTTCGTCGTCATAATATAGTATCATAAGAAACGCATATATGTTTTTAGACTTTAAATTCGTTTGATTATTTGAAGTTGCATTTTGATATAATTAGATAAATGCGATAAATCACGAACGAGGGCTAAAAGGGCTTTCGTTCTCTCTCTCTCTCTCTCTCTCTCTCTCTCTCTCTCTCTCTTTCACCATATCATTATTATTATTATTATTATAATTGTTTTTTTCATCTTTGGTCCACAGCTAATTGGTCATGTTACTGTTTTAAATTCGAAGTGGTCCGTTATATAAGAGGCGATCGTTTTTTTCCCCTTTGTGTATCAATTTAATTGTCGTTCATGGTAATTTCATTAACGTGTTGCTTTTTTTTCTTCTTTTCTTCTTTTCCTTTTTTTTTTCTTCTTTTCCTTTTTTTTTTCTTCTTTTACGTGGGGCATCTCAGTCAAATTAGTCCGGCAAAAATCGATAGAGTTAAAAGTACGAATGAGGCTGCTTGTCCCGAGGATTCATTGCAGGCGTCCGCATCGCTGCAAGATTGAACGCAGCCACGAACGTATCTGGAAATGATCATTTTTTTTTAAATCAGAACGTGCCACGTTTCGCGCGTGACTAATTCGGAGAGAAATTATTCGAAAACAATTCGCCACGTCCGCCATTATTCACCCGATCTTTCACTTCTTTTAACGCCTGAACAATTGTTTTTTTTTTCTTTTTCAACAAATAAATTCTCCACTGTAAAAATGAACATTCGAAGAATGAATTATTTTTACGAATTTGGAATAACGAAATTACTGTAGTCGATCGTTTTAGAAGAAGTGTATATCTTTTCCTAACGAACTACCGTTTATTCTAACGCCTGAACAATTTCTTTCAACAACTAGATTCTCCATGGTAAAAATCAACATTTAAAAAATTGTTCGATCCAAGAATTAATTATTTTTACAAATTTGGAATAACGATAAAACCGTACGAAAATTCTTTCTGACTAGATACATTATTTCTTAGCGTCTAAAGTTTCATTTGCAAAAAAGGTCCACGTTTCATGTGCGCCAACTTGATATTACTTCAATCATCGAACATGTTCCAAAAAAAAAAAAAAAAAAAAAAAAAGAAAACAGAAGGAAAAATGGAAAGTATTGATTGAAATCAACGTATATATATTCTTAGCCACCTAGTTTCTTCTTTTTCTCTTTTTTCTCTTCGTTTCTTTTCTGCCCATCTTCAATCGCGACGGAGCTTGTGGCAATTATAAAGAAGAGTCAATTTCAGACGACGTAACTCTTGCAATTAGCGACGACAGGGGCACAAAAGGGGAACCAAGTTGGAAATTGTTTCTCCGGTTTCGCACTCACTTGTTGTCGAAGTAGAACCCTCCGCAGTGAGACATTCTTATGATTTCGGAGTCGGTCGTCAGAGTTCCGCTGTCCAGCGCGCAGCTTCTCACCGTCAAAGAGATCCCGGACTCGTCTAATTAATCACACGTTAATTACTGTCCGCTCTATCGGAAAGTTACCAGAACCGCTTGAAATTTCGTTTCACTTAAATCAGCTGTAACTCTGCTTCCTACGCTTTTTAAAAATATTCTAACATTTCTTCTTTTCTTTTTTTTTGTTATTTAACTCGTTATCTAACATCACTCCTTTTTTTGCTCGAGTTCAAAAATATTACAACATTTCTTCTTTTTCTTTCGCTCAAGTTTGAAAACATTACAACATTTCACCTCGTTATTCAACATTCCTTTTGTTTTCCCTCAAGTTTAAAAAATATTACCTACAACATCTCTTCTTTTTCTTTTCTGCTCGAGTTATAATTAGTTTCATTACGAGGAAAATTCTTCGAGCGATCTACAGTCGGGGGAGAAAATTCAGCGGACAGTCCAAGAAGAGAATTTCTAGAGTATCGTTACGAAATATTAAGTGGAGGTTACATGGAGAAATTAACGAATAATATATACAGAAGGTTTAGAAGTGTGTAGAAGTTTATTGTACATTCTGTGTAACGTGTTCGCTTAATTTTGACCTGCATTCGGCACAATTTACTCGTACACCTACGTTAGGGTGGCTTTCAGTTTCGGATTAAATGATCTATGCATCGTGAGGACATGCAGAGTGTCTCTAAGTAGCGGTAGAACTTGTTTAGAAAAAGTTTCGAATTCTACGTGGGAAAGATAAGTGGAAAATGTGGAGTAAGGTTTTTCTCATAGGAAGCTTCATTTCCGAATAAATCGATGTTGAAGATTTCGTCGAGTACGCTTGTACGTTTTCTAGGGTATTTCCCGTTTTCGAATCTTCCAATAATTTCCTCTTTGTATTCTCCTGGTGGTACACGAGAGATTTGTCGTGGTTCCGTAAGTAAAAATCTATCTCTCTTAGGTTCGATTATTTTAGGAAGGATGGCCTTTCGCTTTCGTCTCAATTTTCATCTGTTCGATACGACAAATGTAAATAGTGATGCAGGCAGTTCAATTTTTAAATTTAGCACGAGAAAAATTTTATTACACATTTTTACCACTCTGTCTAACAAATGAGATTTATGTTAATGGTAATGTGACAACCATTGACATTATCCACTTAATATGATAACCATTGACTCTATCCACTCGATATTCTCCCCAACTAGTTAGCAGTTAGAAATTCATCTCGAAAGGGATGAAATTATTAAACTTCCAAGCTGTTGTAATTGACGAACATCCCGTAAGAATTCTATTCTGATGATTAAATTTTATGAAATAAATGTTGCCCCACATTTTCCATTTATTTTTTCAACACACTGTGCAATGATTAATATTTAAATTGACAGTAAAGTGACAACCATTTATTCTGTAGATTATCCGTTCAATTTTCTCTCTAACTAGTTCGTAGTTAGAAATTCGTGTGGAAAGGGATGAACCGAAGCTATCAAGTTTGATTAATCATTAACGAAAATTTCCAAGCACTTGCAATAGGCAAGCGTCCGATAAGAATTCTATTCTGATGATTAAGTTTCTTGAAATATTGCAAAGCTTGATATGAGATAAATGTTACCACACATTTTCCCATTTATTCTTCCAACACTCTGCACGATAATTAAAATTTAAGTTTGCAGTAAACTGATAACACTGTCCGCTCAATTTTCTCCCTAACTAGTTAGCAGTTAGAAATTCATATCACAAGGGGTGAACTAAAATGATTAAATTTCCAAACAAGAATTCTATTATAATCGTTAAATTTCCTTAATTGTTGCAAAAGTACTTTAAGCTCTGTATAAGTTAAATATTACTCCACATTTTCCATTTACTTTTCCAACACTCTGTATGATAATTAAAATTTAAGTTTGCAGTAAACTGATAACGCTGTCCGCTCAATTTTCTCACAACTGTAGTTAGTAGTTCGAAATTCTTATAGACCCTACTGCGTTCTTCGTTTCGACTGTACGCTTAAGAGTTTTGGGTCAAAAGGGATCTAAGACCTTATGCGAAACAATTTTCGTTTCCAACGCGACATGTGAACCTAGACGATAAACGTTTAAAATAATGTTAAGGAACGTAAACTTGGTAGCAGCAAAAATGACTAAAAATATAAAAAGGCGGCGGGTCAAAAATGACCCGAAGACCGCTCTACGGTTAAAAGGGACGAACCGAAGTTATCAGGTTTGATCAATCACGAACGAAAATTTGCAAACACTTGCAATTGGCAAGCGTCCGACAAGAATTCTATTCTTCTGATTAAATTTAGCGAATTATACCGAACGAAGCAGCTGATTATTTCATGCGGTATATTAGCTTTTCCACCGGCGAAACCTCCGTCAACAAGCGGTATACTGTACGCGGAGGCATAGTGTATTCGTTGAACAGACAGCCCCGAAAGGGGTTAAGGGCCACTCGTGATTACAAAAAGAGGAAAGTTTTACCATATATGCCTGCTATTTTGATGCACGCAGTTGCGGGGAAAAGACCATCGCGCCCTTTTCGACCTCCCAAGCAGGGCGACTCTAAGAAGGCGAGACTTCCATTGTTGTGAAACGGGTCGTCGCAGGGCTTATTGTCACCGTCGATCGACACACACTTGAAACAATCGATGGCCCAACCTGATAAAATCAAGCAGCAAAAGGGAAATGTTAACGAACACTTTGGCTTGACGAATAATTTCAGGAAAAATTCCAAATTCTACGTGCTACACACTGCCGTAAGGGTTTCTCTGAATTTCTATGTGAGATTGGAATTAATTCTGTGGTAACGTTAGCACTGTCGAAGTATTTTTTTTTTTTTGCGATGCTGACGTGCTAGAAGAAGAAGAGAGTTGATCAATTATTGAGAAAATTGGGAACTACGAGTGTGAAAAATTTTATTTTCACGTGCATCGAAAGACCGAGTCGAAATAGTGTTAAAATGAAAAGAATAATGTTAATGAATCATTGAGAAAATTGGGATTTAATTATCATACTGTGAGTTTAAAAAATTCCACTTTTATGCATCAAATCTGTAGAATTTTTCACGATTTCGTATTAAGTTTCCAATGAATCACGCAAATTGTTTTTCCGCCTTCCCTTTAATTCTCTGACAACAGAACTGCGGCATAATTGGAATTTAATTATCACCGAGTTTAAAAAATTCCATTTTCACGTATTAAGTCTGGAAAATTTGGCACGACCTCGTATTAAGTTTCGAACGAATCGCAAAAATTCTTTTCCCTCTTCCCTCTAATTCTCCAACTGTTACAAGAGAACTGCGGCATATCCAAAAGGTAATTCCATCGATTATTTTTCGAGCCCGGGTTACTCACATAGTCACCGCAACCCTAACCCCACGCTAATTTTCATAAATTCTACATCGAAACACAACTCTACACAACCGAAACCGCCTCTACCCAACGAAACGCCAATAAAAAGAACACAGCAGAAAATCCTCGAAATGAAAAGATCTAAAGAAAATCATGCAAACAAACACGCTCTACAAACTAGCAACAAATTCTATCGAATTAACGTAAAACTGACCTTGCGACACAACAAGCGCGATAAATCCGAAATAAACGATCCAGGAGGACCTTGCATCCATCTTTGCCTGAGCGTTGAGCGCTTCTCCCCGGATGAACGATCGCCTGGTCGCCATCAGCTGCTGAATGCCGGAGGCCTCGAGTCGAGTTCCTCCAGAACTGTCATGTCAGCCGGAAGAAAAAAAACCGATGTCGACTACAGAGATCAACGTCTTCTCAGACGTGGATCATATCGGACCGAAAAATCCATATGGAGAAAGGGTATGACGGTTCCCTCGATGCGTTTCTCTTCCCTCCCTCCAGGTGTTCCCCGCCTATGTGCTCACGCCTTCGCAAAACTCGATGTTTTGCCGAACCTGTTACCAGGGTGATGACGATCCTTTCGACGCCGACTCGGCCTCGCCGATAAAGACTCGCCACACGCTGATCAATGATCCCACGCTACTCCGACATTGTCGCGTTAGGGGAGAGATTCGCGAGCCCACCTCGTTCTTTTCGTTCGAACTGACCTGCTGGCGAGGTGCTCAGGAGGGCTGGAACAGTCGGTAATCGCGTGATTCCGTTTGCACGCGAATTGTGGGCGCAGTTGTGTGACTCATAGTCGCGTGGCGGTTACGCAAAGCAATGCATACCAAAGCTTTGCGAGGAGTTTTCGGGGGTCGCGACGTGTCCTGCCGGGACGGTCGCGAGTGGAGAACGATTCCAGGAGGGGTTTCGGTGTGCTCGTTGTTGTTGGAAATTTGCGTTTGCTAAATGTTGCGGGAGTAACGTTGATCGAGGGATTCGTTGACGTGGCTGTGATAAGGTTTTCATGTGTTACATTTTTGAGAAGAGTTTTCTTTGATTTTTATGGAAGAAGGCTTCTTCCGTAATCTTCAATGATTTTTTGTTTAATTTTTTATTGCGGCGAAATGGAGGGGGCGAGAAGGTAAGCACGGCACCTTTGTGATTTGGTAACCCTGTTGATTGATATGTTAAAATGTGGCTAATTAAAAAATATTAATACGGAAATTGAAGATTTTCGTAATTTTTCTTATTCCAGTTTTTTTTCTTTTTTGGAATTTAAGTGATTTTTTAGGGGTGACAGCGGGGCTGCCAACTTGAGAATTTGTGTTTTATTTCTTCTATTTTGTTGCATGTGAGATCTTTCATTTCGTTATGTGTGAAATCTTCCGTTTTATAATAAATTGTTAAACTTGGAGTTTGGGAATTTTTTTTAGACTCCGTAGGTGCTTCTGTGAAAATGGAAAATGTTGGAAATAATAGGAAGAAAATGGTAATTAATGTGGTGTGAGGGAATAATGAAGTTTAAACGTGATTGGTGGAATTGTGTAATTTTATAAATCATTAGTGCGATAAATAATGGAGAAATGTTAGATTCGTGCAATTGTTAGATTATCGAACGGTACAGTGCGTGCATATTGATATCAGATGATTACATGCCAGGTGTTCCAGGTGGAAATTTCGATAATTCTATTACATCTACGTAGGAAATCCTGTAATTTTTTAATTTCTGTTACAAATTTTTCTACACAATATTTCGAATAGTAGTATCTACAAAAAATATGAACACTTTGCCTAAAACACCTTGTAGAAACATCAAAAGCTACGAAAGAAAAGTATCTAATTAACATCTCTACGAATCTACAAAGCGAATTACGATTATTCTATTCGACTGATATTCGTTATATTACCTCGTGAATCACACACAAACGTGGTAGTTAGCATTGGTATCCCGCGGACACTCTTAATACGAAATTAAACGAGACCGTGGAAAACGTGCAGCGAACAGGGATGAAATTCAAAATTACGCGGGTCGCGCATGCGCACCGGCTCGCGGGCCAATCACTTGGTTGCTTCGGAGCGGCCGTTCGTCTCTGTCGTAGCGACACTGCGGGTACACGATATGATAGTATTTTTCGAAAAATGTGTCGGTCTTTCACGCACTCATGCATCCGCTTTTTCACGTGAGCCCGCCGCGATCACCGAGTGCTTTATCTCGTGCTTGCCATCGCCGTCGGCGTGAGAATAATGGGCCAGTCGTCGAGCTACACCGGACAGAGAGGTGAGTGTCGATTTTACATCCGTATTCGTAATTGTGTGTTGTTGGCCGCCCCGACGTTTTTTCGAGTTGCACTGCACGCTTGACATGTGTCAACTGCGAGGGCTCTTGACTTTGCTGCCAGCTCCTGCGCAAGTTTCGTTGACTTTTTCCGTGGCATTGCGTCGTTTGCGACGAGAACCTTCTCCGACGTGACTGTGTTTTCCCCGAAATAAGCGGCAGTTTCATTCGGGATTCGTCGATCACGCTTGCTTTGAGGTTATGTCATTTGGTCACATCGATGTAATGGCGATCGTGGGAATCGTTTCGCGTATTCGTTTATACCATCTCATCGCGTTACACGAGACGTACTGCCGTGTTCCGTATCGTCGTCTGTTTTTCCACAGATGCGACGATATTTTCTTTCGTCATCTCGACGGTCCTCTGTTTGGCCGTCATCGATTGTTGATTTAACTGCCGCAGTGGTCGAATCTGCGCAAAGCGATCGTTATTGGCAATAGCGTTCTTTTAAATCCCAGTTTTTCGATCGGTGTCGAAAAGTTTCTTGCCCTGTTCTTCTTATCGCTGCACAAATTCTTCGAATTGTACACACGTCCACGATACCAGGCCGTGCTATTGCATTTGCTTTCTCATCCGTTAAAAATCGTTCTACTTGTCCTGAATTATCTAAATTTTTACGTAATTTTCCACAGATATCGAATCGTTCGTGAGACGAACGAGAACGACCGACAGTTTGTTTATAATCGCTGGTCATGAATGACTTTTGTAGTTTTTAAGTGCTTCACTTTTTCGTTGTACCGTGGATAATAGTAATTGTAGGATTATATGGTAGTTTCAAGTGCAGTACAAATGCTTCCTTGTACAGTAGGGTAACTGTTTACGTCTTCGTTGAAATTTTCTATCAATATCTCGCTAGTTTTATGTGACACGTATGAAGAAATTGTATTAAACGAAATAAATATTATTAGCGACGTTGCAATAGATTAGAAAGATTGTTAATTTTTCTAAGATTCATTCATATTTGATTCTTTATTTCGAGTTGCAAAGTATACTACCCTTACCGACGCGTTCCTTCGGGCTGCCGTACATAAGCGACATCTGTCACAAACTAAAAGCTGTAATTAACCACGTCGGTAATAATGGAAACGTACTATTTTGTAACATTATAAAGTGTAAATAGAGTAATAAAAAATATTTAAAAATTGATCGTTAAGTTATAAGGAAATTTAGTATCTTTCAAGGAAATTTGATTAAACAAAAAAATAAGTAAATAAGTAAAGTAGTTTTTCATTCAAACCCAGTCCCTTTTACATGTTTCATTAGTTGTTTTCTTTTAAGTCCATTTCTGTTTGCAATTTTCTAACCAATATTTAATTTTTATCAATTTTAACGTAAAATAAGGAAATTTTTAAAGAAGTTGTATAAATATAAATGAGTTTCTGTTTTCTTAGTTATTTTTTTCACCTTTTTATTCCACAATGGCATAATTCAACTGTTACTATTTGTACAATTATCGATTAGATTTAAATAATTGTTTGGTCAAACTTTTCTGCAGCATCCTTCCACGAAAAATCAACAATGCACCACGTCTAACTGTCCCAGTATTCATAACGAAATGAACAAACAATAAAGAATATACTAGAATGGGGAAAACTGGAATGTAATCGTTAACCGAGCCAATATTTGAAGAATCACTTCGCGTGGATTAGGGATTATCGCAAAATTTCAAAGAAATATTACTCACACAATATCATCTATCTCATTTTTTTTCCAATTTTCAACTCAACGAAGAATACTCTCTGTAACGAAAAATTTCCAAAAAAATTCAAAGAATTTTTCAAAATAATACAATAGAAAAAGAATTAAATTTTTATTATCTTTAGGAAGTAAAGAAATTCTTGAAATTATCCAAAATATTTCAGCAAAATGGGAGCACTTGTTCCTAAAATTATTTTCTCTTCAAGATTGCCTTTCGTACCAAAAAATCGAAGAATTTTTCAAAACCACGAATAGAAAAAAAAACAAACTTAATAATCTGAACAAAAACGAAAAACTCCTTCATAAACCTCCAAAATATTTCGTCAAAGCAGCAACAAGTGCTTCCAAAATTCCCCCCCAAAATTCTTCAACTCCCGCCAAAAATTTCACTCGCAAATTCCCCCGAAAAAAGAAAAAAAAAAAAAAGAGAACAGTCGAAACGTACCTTATTCTCGTGAGAACACCCAGCTACCGTACATCTCGACCTGGAAAGGAGACTCAAAGCTTCTCCCCCGAAATTCCGCAATAGAACCGGCCGTTTCCCCGCGAATTATTGGTGCAAACAGATCAGCAGCCGTGCTAATTAATCGACAATCGCGAAACGAGACGTTTCCCTTCTGTACAAATATTTTGCCAGCTGCGTTTCTCGCCGCGTTCACCAGCAGCAGGAGCAACACCACCACCACCACCACCACCGGGAACACCTTTCGATTTCGTTTCGTACGGTCGTCGGGCTTGCAAGATGGTACGTGGTAGCGCGAGGCGCAGGTAGTACGCGTACCTTGGCGTGGGCCACAGATGTTATTGTCATATGGCAGACACACGGCTCGGGATTCGGAGCTGTAAAACCGCGACTACAGGTCTACAGAAATTCTGCTGCGGTAGCCGCTATAATATTATCTAATCGACGTCACGCGACGTCGATTTTAGAGGGGGTCTTTTTCGTCCATGTCGACAGAGAAATCTAAGGTTTGTCGTTCGAGAGAATTTCGGGAGTAATTGGAAGATTTGCGGAAGGATTTGGTTGAGGAAGAGGTGTTTTGGTCTGTTGTGTGGGAAAAGTGTATTCTTTTTTGAAATTGTTTCGTTGGAGAGAATTGGAAATTTTGTGGAAGGATTTGGTTGAGGAAGAGGTGTTTTGGTCTGTTGTGTGGGAAAAGTGTATTCTTTTTTGAAATTGTTTCGTTGGAGAGAATTGGAAATTTTGTGGAAGGATTTGGTTGAGGAAGAGGTGTTTTGGTC